CTTTGCTGGCTGAGGAACTCTGGGAGTTGAAGTCCACAAGTCTTAAAGTTGCCAAGGTTGGACACCCCTGAATTAGACACTTTGCAGCAATGCAGAAGATGACACTTTTAAGTGCAAGTTGTTTACAAGAACCGAGCTCAGAGATGCACCAATTATCCCATGTGTAGGAATTCCTTGTTTGCCTTGTGACCCAAGGCTGAAGCAATTAAGCAACGCCACGTGCTTTTGGGGGGGAGAGTCTAGGAAATTGGCGTCCTCTGCTGCAGCACCTGCCCGCTGGAACACCCTCCCTCAGATGGCTGGTCTCCATCCTGGTTGCATTCATAGGCTTTGAAAACTTGTCCTTGAATTAGATGGGTGGCAGCTCCCACATGTCTGTTTGTCGTTTAATGGTTGTATTTCTTCCAGTGTTTCAGGGTAGGGGGAGTTTTTTTTTTTTTTTTGAAAAGTCTGTAATGACTGATTTTACTACACTGTATGTAGTCGTTCTAGAATTGAGAAGCCCTATACAGTATAATTCTACAACATATAAGTAACAAATTATCCCTGTATTTCTCTAAGTAATAGAATGCTCGTCTAGAGCTGCAATGTTTCTTTGTTTGCTATACAGAGACTGTTAATTTAACATATTCAATTGCTTTAAAAGTTTTTTTTAAAGATCTATGTACCATTATATTATGACGTGTTTATTTTATGCTTTGTGATTTTTGCAAAGGAGAGGATGGAGATGCTATCATTAAATAAGTAGAGCCTTCCATGGTGACTCACAGAATCAGACCCAGAAAAAAAGCATTTTCAAATCATTTTAAAAACTAAGAGGTCTACTGAAGGCCATTATCTACTATCGCTAAATTTAATCTGTATTTAGAAGTATAAAACTAGGAGGATCAGTTAATACCTGTTTAATGCAGGAGCCTGGATTTTTTTAACCCTTGGTAGCCTTTTGAACTTCTGTTTAAATACACATAGCAAAAACCAGTCCTTCACCTCTTAAGGCAGTTTGTGTTTCATCATTCAGGGAGAAGGTTTCCCTCAAATACTTCTCTGAATCAGCTCTTCATTGGTTCTAGATCTGCCCTCATTCCTTACACGTGAGAGCTCCACAGATTATCTGAGGACAAAATGTCACCTTTCAATGTGTCTTTTTATCAGGCTAAATATTTCACAACTCCCCATCCTGGCTATCCTCTTTTCAATGAACTACATTCTGACAGTGTCTCTCTGTCTCTGTCTCTGTCTCTCTCTCACACACACAAATACAAATCTGGGAGCAGTCCATCTTTTGGAACCACAGCTCTAAGAGGACAGCCCTTTCTCTGCGGAACTGGATCAGCCACAAACTGAAAATTTGAAACCGGATCAACTGGACAATCTGATCCAACTGGACAATCAATTGGACAATCTGATCCAACAAGGACATCTCTTGTCTACTTCTCTTATTTATATGATATTCCAGAAAGTATTTTCGGGGCATTTTGCAAAATCTTTTCCTTGGGGTCGATTAAGAAACAGGAATCCCAAAGGATGAAACTTCTTGGATTAGAAGCGAAACATCATCTTCCTCAAAAAACAGTCTAGTTGCCTTTTTGGAAAAAAAACAAAACACCTTTGACATAAGTATGACTGACTGAGAATCTTCCACAGACATTTAACCATAGGAATGTTCATGTCTACATAACTATAGCTTTGAATTCCCAGCAAAGCCCATCTTATGAAGGAATATTAGAGAGCTTAAAAGGAAATGAGCAACTCAAATGAACCAGGTGCTGAAGTATCTCCCCGCTCACTGAAATTCACAATTGGGGGGATTTTTTTTTCACCGGAGACAAAAACACATAAGGGACATTTGGAGGCAAATACATTTACCTATTTAAAGAATGTAAGGAATTTTCTCTCACACACATAATACTAGCCATATTAGATCAGGCCAAAGGGTAACCACTTGGGGATAACAATTCATGGTTTGGGAAGGTGAAATGGGGAAAAAGCATAATCATTAAAAAAAAAAAAAAATTCTTCTCCCTCATGGTACCTTGATGGAGCTGTTCTGAAACATCTCCACAGTCATTTCTTCTTCCTCCTCCTCCTCTTCCTCCTCCTCCCCAACAGCAGGCTCAATCATCATGCCTGGAAACCTCTCACTCTCGCAGAACTGGAGAAAAACAGGATTACGGCTGGAATTGCGTTGGATCTCAACTCGTAGGATGCCGTCCCGTGGCCATTTATCCCGGACGTGTTCCAGGCAGTTGATGGGGGAACGGGAGAAGGTGATGTGAATGTATGCCAGAATGAAGAGGACAAAGAGAGCCTGGCAGACAAAGAATAACAAATTACAACAGTGCAGCCTCCCCGTCTCCCAAACCTCTGCAAGACAAGTATGAATGTTCCATCAAGCTTCAATTCTGTCAAGGAACCCGATTACACAGAGTGCGTCATATTTTTATGAATACCCCGCCTTTTATTATTATTATAAGTAACTCAAGGTGGTGAGCTCCTTCCTCCTCCTGTTTTCCCCATCAAAACACCCTGTGAAGTGAATTGGGTTGAGAGCAAGTGACTGGGCCAAAGTCACTCAGCCAACAGCTGCCATGCCTAAGCTAGGACTAGAACCCAGAGTCTCCTGGCTTGTAGCCTAGTGTCTCAACCACTGGACCAAAATTATAAATAAATAATAAATAAAAACATCATAAAATAACATAAGCTAAATAGGGGGTATAAAATAATTAAAACTTGACTCAGTTTTGGTTCTGGCACCATGCATCTTCCATCCATAATTGCCTTTTCCCATGGACTAAACCTTCTTTCAAAGGTTTTCCATTCTGAATAGGTTTCTAAAAGGAAGTCAGCATTCCCTCCTTCTTCTCAGCCAGTTCACTTCATTTCTGAGCAAAATGTAGAGGGTTTCTTCCTTTGTAACTACAGGTAGTCCTTGAATTATGGCCAGAAATGAGCCTGCTATGCCTTGCTTAGCAAGCTAACTGAGTTTTGCTCCATTTTACAATCTTTCTTGCCACACTTAAGTGAATCAATGCAATCGTTAAGTTAGTAACACGGGGACTAAGTGAATCTGGCTACCCCATTGAATTTTGCTTGTCAGAGGGTCACAAAAGAGGAATCACATGATCTCGGGACACGGCAAGCGTCATAAATACATGCCAGTTGCCAAGCATCCGAATTTTGATCACGTGACCGTAGCAGAGATGCAGCAAATGTGAAAAAAGGCCAGAAGTCAGTGCCTTTATGAACGGCCACTAAATGAAAGGTTGTAAATCGAGTACCGCAGAAATTAAGGCAGCTGCTGTGATATGTTTCTGTTCATCATACCCAATGCTGCATCATTAAGTAAAGTCTCGATCAAGTTGAGTTTGATTTGTGGTGACTTACACATCAGGCAGTTTCCTTGGCTACAGCTCATAAATCAGCCCTTGACACCTTCTGGGATTCTGTTTTACCACCCAGGTCCAGTTGTCGGCCCTGGACCTCCCTGCCATTCTGCATCCAAATTTATCAAGCAGGGCTGACCCTGTTTCGCTTTCCAGATCCGTCAAGGTCAGCTAGTGCTGCCAGCTGGCTAGGCAGAGCCAGATTATGAGAAGGCAACTTTTAAGATACCACAACAAAGCAACAACAATCAGTTTGCTAATACTTCATTTCAAATGCATTTTTCTTCCTGCTTTACTATGGAAACACGGATTAGTAGCCTTCTGGGAGAGTAATAAACCATTTTTATAGCCTAGTAATTTTATGGAGCTTTTTAAAACTAACCAACAGAAATTATCTCCTCCTTGCTCTTCTGGGAGTTCTAAACATATCATGTTAGCTTGTTATAATCCTTACAATGGTCCCGTGTGGTAAAACCAATACTGTTGCCTTCAAACTGCAAGCGAATGAGGCTCTCCATTTGGAGAAAGTGGCAAAACATATCCAAAACATTTTATGATCCTCAAGAACAAGGGCTTTAAATTACAGAGCTGTAAATGCCACTGCAAGAAAATACACAGCCCTACTAATTTTAAAGACACTGAGCTTCAAAGAGCTGGCAGCTCGGGTTTGAGACCCAAGTTCTGTGCAACAGGGTGAGCTCCTGTTCCTTGCCCCAGCTCCTGCCCACCTAGTAGTTCGAAAGCTTGGAAACGCAAGTAAATAAATAGGTACCACTTAAGTGGGAAGGTAACAGCGTTCCGTGTACCTTTGGAATGTAACCATGCTGGCCATATGACCACTGTTCTGTTCTATGCTGGGCTTGACAACCATGTAAATTGTCTTCAGACAACACTGGCTCCCTTGGCCAAGAAACGGAGATGAGCACTGTGCCCTAATGTCAGACATGACTGACAGGGATATCTTTACTAATTTAGTTATAGTAAAATTAAGGCAGAGAAGTGAGGAACTAGTAGAACTTTAGAGAAGTTCATTAAGCCTAGTGCTTTCCTGCAGGTTTATCAACAACTTAAATAAAAAGGCGAAACCAATCTTTACCAAAGTTGATATGGAATTTGGTGGATTTCTAACTGGTAACACCTCAGAACAAGAGAAATAAAATGGACTGAACGTACTCCACAAAGGCATATACAGTTCCATTTATAACTGATATGTACAACATACACATGTGTAAGCACACATATACAGTGGTGAGTATGTGACTTGATTGCATTAGATGTAAAGAGAATTTGAAATAGCTGATCAGAACAGGAGCCCAGAGTGTTGTGTAACTAGGAAAAAAACTAGCATGAATTTAGGAAGCATTATACTAGAAACATCACAGGAAGTTACACTTAATTCTTCACAAACTTGCTACGTCAGGTAGTGCTCTAGACAAATCATATTCCCTTCAGCCTTAATTTTTTCTTTCCCATTTGTTAAATTTTGAGAGTACTGTGAGGACCACAAAAGTAACACAAAAACATTTGAAAGCTAAAACAACAGAGGATACCCTATGTAATATATATACACAAACAAAAATAAAATGATACAGTACAGAACATGCACTGCATGCACAGCAAAACTAAGGGAGATGGGCAGTTAAGAAATATGAGATATAAATAAATAAAACGCAATTTTTAAAGCTTGAATAAAATGAATTAATCCCCATGGCTCTTAAAAAAAAGTCTGGGTGACACCTAGCACAAGAAATCAAAGTTAAGCACTGGGAAGTTTTGAAAATCCGAATAGAAATGCAGGAGGCATGTGAAGGAGGAGGCACGGAGAGAATAATCTATCACAAGCCAATAAAATGTTCTCCAAGGGGAAAAAATGTCCCACTACCACCCAAATATGTAGAGGCTAAAAAACATTTTCCCCCATAAGCTTTAGTGAGCATTCAAACATCACTAACTCTATTCCAAACCCATGTGAGAATATACACATTGAAGGGAAATGTTATCTCCCCTCCACCATTACCTTAAGGAGCATGAGGAATTCAAAGATGCGACGGAAAGACGGTGGGAAGAGGCGGGCATAGGTGACAGCCATTTTGAAGAAAAGGGCATGGAAGAGGCGATCCCGAACATTGATGAGAGGGTTCTGGTTGAGATTGCGGACCCCTCGGTTATTGCCGGCGGGGGGCCCACCCACCCCATTATTGTTCAATGGATGATGGGTGTTATTGGGCTGATTCTCTGACATCCTGAGTTGGTGAAGGTGCCCAGAGGGTTGACAGGGCTGCTTTCAGAGGCTTCTCCTGCAGTCTTCTCTTAGAAGAGTTTGGCTCCAATTTCCCACATATAAATTTAATTTCAAGATATTAACCAAGTCTGCCGATAGGAGAAAGAACTTAAGCAATGAATTCACCTCCCAAACTGGCACAAGGGAAGGAAAAAGAAAACTGGAAAGAGTTACCCTACAACAAAGTAGCCCATAGTCTGAGTTAGAAGACAAATAGTCCTTAAAGGGATTGGCATGAAAGATGCACCAATTTGGAAACAAGTAAGGAAGGGTTAGTCGCTCAGCAAGAGCTGAACAGAAGGGCAAACTAACCAAATCCCCTATAAGGATCCCGGGTGGTAGGAAGGCAAACCTCGAATAGAACCTAAAAATGCTTCAGGATTAGGGAAGACAAATAGGATGAGAAGACATAGCTGCCAGGAGAAAAGAAAAGAAAAAACTGTGGGCAGATCTGCCTCTCCCAGGGAAAAAAGACAGGTGTATCTATCAAAATGGAGTTAAGGGTTTAATAGGTCAGGGATGGCAGAACCCCCAAAATTTCAAAAAAAAAAAAGTGGGGAGATTGTGGACAGACTATTCAAGAGACAGAAGAGGGATTCAGCAAGATAGGGGAGTAGGCTATCAAATCACAAGGGAGAGGAAAGGGAGGAATTACGTTGGGCAGAAAGAGAAATTTTGCCAGGATAAGTTAAGGGGAAGGGGAGATATTTTTCTGAAGGGGTGACATAGGGGGTGTGTGAAGCGTCAATGACCCCTTATTTAAACAAGAGGCATTTGGTGAACCTCACCAATTTCTAGCAGAGGAATCTGGGGCAGAAGGGGAAATAGAAGAAGAAAGGGGGAGACACTCTGAATACCCAAAAATTTGGGGTGGGTGGGCAGAGCAAAGAAGAAGCCCTTTGCAATCTTCTCGGGAAAGGGGAAGGAGGTGGGGGGAGGCAAGCCTCAAAACGGAGGCGCTTAATTTGGGGGAAGAAAAAGGGTCGTCAGAAGAATCCGAGAGGATAAATGGGGGGGGGGGAGAAGGCCCGCCCTCCAAACTTGAAGGGAAGGGAGGAAAATGGGGGAGAGCCCGATATTGAGAGAGAGAAGCCCCTCAACCTCCAGCCCCCAGGAAGGGGAAAACAGCTTCGAAGGAGCGAGGAAGAAGAGGAGGAAGATGGAGAGCCCTCACCCAGCCCGGTATGGAGGAAGCCGGGCGAAGCAGCGGCGCCCCGCAAAGCAAAAACGGGACGCTGGGGAGAGAAAGGGAAGCTCGGCCGCGTTCCCGGGAAGCGGCCGGTCCTCTGGGCCTCCGCCTCTCAGTCCACCTTCACGTCCGCCCGGTCCACCGCCATGTTAATACCAAGCTCGCTTCCCCTTTCCCTCCCGCCCCTCCCGTCCCGATGACGTCAGCCGAGAGCAGGCAGGGTGGAGGAACACCGAGCGAGGGCGAAAAGCATCCTGGGAAAGGAAGGGGGAACTAGAGGAGTCCCGGAAGGGGAGCGCGCGATGCGTAGGGCGGGGTGGGAAAAGCGAGCTCCAAAGGGGTACGGTTAAGAGGAAGGTTTTAGGAACACTTCCGGTATTATTATTTTTTTGACAAATACTTAAAAAAACCAACCCAAAGCCACCCGCGCCCTCGCCCCAAAATATCTGAATCGGCAAGTAAGGGGGGAAAAAAAGTTTAAAGGCTTCGTTTTTATTTTCTCTTCTTTAACTTATCCACTCTGATGTAACTTTATCGAGTTTCCACCTTCTCCATAAGTATCATAATAGGAGGCTTTTTGACCCGGGAAAACTCAGAACTGTTACTCTTTGCTGCAAATATTATTGCATCGTGGAAATCTTCATTTACGCAAATACTACTGCGAGCTATTCACTCTTCACTGGGCTATAGAACAGAAGCCGTCAATACAACAACGTTGGTTAATTATTGCCTCTTTTTTATTTTCAGACCTCGTTCTATCCCCCTTTGGACCTCACATGGAGGATTCGACCTTACGGTGCTACGATTCGAAACTTCACGTGCTTGGCTCCTTGAAACGCTCGACATTTTACTTACCTCTTTGTCTCCATATGCCCCACCCCATCCCATTCCGTAGCCACGCCCCTTGATTTCCATAACCCGACTTTGCCGGTCATCCTCTGCGGAAAATGTAGTTTTGTTCTGATTTTTTAAAATATATACTCTAAACTTCGAGCTATAAAAGAGACACAGCTTGTTTTGGGTTAATACAAAGTAGATCTTTAAAAAAAGGAAAAAAAAATACATAGTTTGTCACCATACCTTATAATATTCTGGTATCATGAGCTTTATATAGCTCTTAACTGAAGCGTTAGTTTGTGCTCGCTTCGGCAGCACATATACTAAAATTGGAACGATACAGAGAAGATTAGCATGGCCCCTGCGCAAGGATGACACGCAAATTCGTGAAGCGTTCCATATTTTGATGCTTTTTCTCGCCTCCTTCCTTTCATTGACTCCACTAAGCAACATAGTTCTCGCATCGGGATACTAAATCTATTATGATCGTTACTATTGTTTTCTATTGTTCCTATTTTTTGCAATGTTATCTGTGGCTTTGGGAAATATTGCAGGCATCCTATCATCTAAATTCCAAACTACAGCAGCAGCATTTTCAACTCCTCTTTTTTTAAAAAAATGAAATCTTGGTGTAGGTTTTAAAATATGCAGTCATCGAAGTGGCTTTGCTGGATTGAAGCAGTGCATCCATTAGCCCAGTGGTCATCGGTTTCCAAAAATTAAAACTTTATGCTACATCCTCAACAAATGGAGCAAAAAGTTGGACTGCTCCTAGAAGTGGAGGCTTTGTTTCAGCATGCAAGAAGTCTTGCTGGGCCACACTTGGCAATTGTTCGTTTGTTTTGAATTAATAAATCACCCAACTCTGGTGAATTCTGATAGAGATCATGGGAACTGGTAACATTCAAAGATCCATTTCGAAATCATTATTTAATTTCACAATCTCAGCCAGCTGGGGAATTCTGGGAGTTGAAGTTCACATATCTAAGTTAAAGTAGCTAAGATTGGGGAAATAAGGTATTTAATATATGGTATTGTAGCCCGAAATAAAGTATTTAATATATGGTATTGTAGCCTGTGCAATTGCGTAGCATGTCTATCAGGGGGAGCTCCACAACTACTTATAGGAATAGATAGTGCATGTATATATGTGTATGCATATACAAGCAATCTCTTTTCCAATATTTTTGTTGCAGAGAAAAATAACAAGTCTGTTCTTGCCCTGGATTCCTTTGTGGATTATTCCTGAAAGTTTCCTTTAGCCTTGAAAGAGCCTCTGCCTGAAAATTTCTCTCTGCCCCTCTCCTGTTGCAGTAAGCTCTTCCTACTCCTCCATTCTTTGTTTTTCTTTATCCTTCCTCACTTGTCCATCACTATTCCCCCAAAACACTCTAATCCAGTGTTTCTCTACCTTGTGAACTTTAAGATGTATGGACTTTAAATCCCAGAATTCCCTAGCCAGCATGCTCCCATTTGGAGAATTCTGGGGAATTGAAATCCACCCACTTTAGACGATAGACAGGCAGACAGATGACAGGTAAAGAGAAAGAGATGAGAGAGAGAGAGAGAGAGAGAGAGAGAGAGAGAGAGAGAG